ACCTTGAAGTGCGTGTCGCCCTTCTTTCCCTCGTCCTGGAACGTCCCGAAGGTGTTGACGCCGCCCGACGTGTCCTCGGCGCTGACCGCGTGGCGAGCCGAGTTGACTCCCGGCCTCTGCTGCGGCGCCGGCTGCTTCGGGGCCTGTAGAGGGACGTGGTTCTGGTGGGGGTTCACAGGTCTTGGCTGAGCCGGTCGGACGTGGACGGGGCCGCCCTCTGAGCCAGGAGGCGGAGGGGGCCTCATGAAGTCGATGGTCGGGCGCTGCGGGCGTGGGGCGGCATGAGGGCGCTGGAGGCGTTGGTTGGAGGGGTGGGCGCGGGGAAGCTGCTGTGCGCCGCGGGGAGGCTGCTGTCTGAACGCCAGGACGGGCTGCTGCTGGGACGGCTGCGGCTGCTGCTGCGGGGGATGCTGCGGGGGAAGCTGTGGGGGATGTTGCGGGGGATGCTGTGGGGGATGTTGCGGGGGATGTTGTGGGGGATGCTGTGGGGAATGTTGTGGGGGATGCTGTGGGGGATGCTGCGGGGGATGCGGTGCGATCTGCTGCTGTAGCTGCTGCTGGTTCTGGATGTGGGCCTGTCGGAGTTCAGGGTAGTTCTCGTCGTAGTACTGCTTGTACCGTAGATACCAGTTGTTGTACCATTCGGCGTAGCTCTGCTGGTACTCTGCCTGCTCGGGGTCCAGGTGCTGCAGGTGGTGTGCCTGCTCCTGCTCGTCCCTCCTGAGGGTGTGCACGTTGTAGAAGGGCAGGTGAGGGGGCTGGAGGAAGGGCGACGGGTTGCGGGCGGGGTTGTCGACGCGGGCGGGCGTGGGCGAGTCTGACAGGAAGTAGGGGATAGAGACGAGGCCGCCGATGAGGGCCATCCACGTCATGGGGCCGATGGCTGCGAGGAAAGAGGCAACGTTATTACTCATAATGACAACAGCAATCGAAATTTATAGTTACCACTTAATATAAAAGTACGCCGCTCGTTAACAAATGCACATTCTATAATAATATCCTTTATTGCAATTATATTATACATCGTGCATGATCAAGCGCGTAAGCTTCAGAATTCACAATAAAGGTTAGAGGGTGTGAGTCTGATTACGAAATTATGTGCACGTCATCGTGTACACTTCAGTATTAATAGACACCAGACAATGGAACCCTAAATGTATTCACACCCAAGTAGGAACATCAACACACGATCATTCTTTAGTACTTAGTGAAGACTGCGTGAGGAACCGAAAACAACTTACACAGGAGGGTGGTGACTCCGGGGTCAGCTCGGGGCATGGCGATATCTAACTCGGAGGTCGAGAAGTCCCGACTCTCCACGATGGTTTCCTGTCGCGCGAGGAACTCCTGCATCTCCTGGCGGTGCAGCAGAAGGCTCTCGGGCAGCACCAACTTGAAGCGGTGATTGGCCAGGTACTCCTCCGCTAGTTCTCCCAGGACCCTCAAGGTGGCATTGTCTCGCTCGTCGTCGTCGAAGACGTTCGTCAGCCTCTTGGCCGCCGAGAGGAGGTTCGACGCCAGCTTCTCCTTGCCGATGTACTTGAGGGAAGTCTTGAAGGCGCTCATTCCCGCGGCCTTCAGGAGCTCGCTGTAGGACGGGCGCTCCTTGTGGGTGTAGGCCAGGATCACCGTCCGGAGCACCGGAACCAGGTTGTCCTTGTCGATGATGATGTCGCGGTCGTCGTGCAGAGGGTGAGGGACGTTGGCTTCGAAGCCCTCTTGCGTCAGGCCGTCGGGGTGCTCGTAAGAGTTGTCCTCCACGATAGAATCATCGTCGTATCTGTCGTAAGAGGATTCTTCTACTTCATCATTTTCATCATCATCTTCGACATACACATCGTCCTCATCTTCATCGTCCTGCTCGATAATGTCATCTTCATCATCCTCTGTGTCTTCCTCCTCCTCTTCCTCCTCCTCCGGGAAAACATCTTCATCATCGTCTACGTCGTCATCTCCCTCGACGTCCTCCCAGTCATCGTCGACCTCCACGACCACCGCGGGAGTCTCGACGTCGGCGATAGAGGCGCTGGCGACCACGTGACCTTCTTCATTCTCTGGCGTGCTTGACGGAGAGGGCGTCGCGGTGGGAGGCGAGGGCGTGGTGGTGACTGGCGGAGATGTGGGAGGGCTGATGGTTGAAGCAGAGACGATGGCAATTAACAAAACCGCCACCAGGTTCCTGAAGAGCCACATTTTGCCGGTGGTGGTTCGCATAACAAGTTCTTAGTTTTCTTTTTTTTTTCTAGTGAGATGGATTTCTATGACATGTCTCGGTCTTATGCTTACGAAGTGGATAAACACAACACTGTCTCTTCACACCGAAAATGTCTCCTCTTATTCGCACCAAAGATCTTATCTTATTCGCCTACACAGTTTCGCAGCGGAGAAGTCGGCCGACGTCTTCTCCTTGGCAATCCGCGAGAGCAAGAGGGAGAGAGATGAGGAACCGCGTGCGTCCTTGGCCGTGGCTGAAGCCCTTGTGACCTAGTGCTCCGCAACC